CTTTCAAATACTTGAGGAAAAAATAATACCATTCTTCACACAAACTCTCCCAGATAATAGAAAAGAAAGAAAAACATCCCCACTTATTTTATGAGGTTAGAACTCAATATAGTCATTATAAGAAAAGAAAAATTACATCATAAACATACATGTAAAAATCTTAAATATTAGCAAACTGAATCCAGTGATATATAAAAATGATAATATATCATGAGCATGTGTAGAGTTTATTCTTAGAATATAAGGTGGCTTAACATTTCAAATTGATCAGTGTAATTCAATACTCTAACAGAACAAAAAAGGAAAACTATTGTGATCATCTTAATAGAGAAAAAACAATTTGATAAAATTTAACACCCTTTTATTATAAAAACTCTTATTAAAGTAGGAATAGAAGGGATTTTGTATCTACAAAAATCCTACAGCTAACATCATACTGATTAAATATCGAATGCTTTAACCACCCACCCATGTTCAGAGGCAAGGCAAGTATGTTCACTATCACCATTTTGTTCAACATTTTATTGGAAGTCCCAGCTTGTGTAATAAGACAAGAAAAAGAAATCAAAGATATAAAGATTGGAAAAGAGAAAGTAAAATTGTCATTCACAGATGGCATGATTGTATATAAATAAAAATACAAATAAATCTATCAATAAACTTAAAATTAACATGTGCAATTTAAAATTGCTGGAAAAAGGTCAGGTAATAAACATCAGTTATCTTGTTTTTTGTTATCCTATTTACTTTATTATGTCTAACAATTCTATAAACAATAACTAAATTTAAGTACTCATTAATTTTACTGTGCTTGCCTCTTAGGCTATTACAGGATTCAACAATTTTTTTGAGATATAATTGACATATAAAATTTTCTTAGTTTCAGTTGTACAACATAATGATTCAATATGTGTATATATTGTGAAATGAGCACCACAATAAGTCTAGTTAACATCCATCACCACACAGTTAGAAAATTTTTTCTTGTGATGAGAACTTTTAAGATTTACTCTTAGCAACTTTCAAATATACAGTACAGTGTTATTAACTGTAGTTGCCATGCTGTATATTACATCCCCAGGACTTATTTTATAACTGGAAGTTTGTACCTTTTGACCCCCTTCACTCATTTGACCTGCCCCCTAATCCCTGTCTTTGGCAACCATCAGTCTGTTCCTGAATCTATGAGCTCCATTTTTGTTTTGTTTTGTTTTAGATTCCACAAATAAGTGAGATCATATGGTATTTTTTCTTTCTCTGTCTTATTTCACTTAGCAAAATGACCTCCAGTTCCATCCATGTTGTCACAAATGGCAAGATTTTCTTCTTTTTTTGTGGCTGAATCATATTACATTGTGTGTGTGTGTATATATATGCGTGTGTGTATATATATATGTGTGTGTATATATATATGTGTGTGTGTGTGTATATATATGTGTGTGTGTGTATATATATATATCTCACATTTTCTTTCTCCATTCATCCATTGATGGACATTTAGGTTGCTTGCATGTCTTGGCTATTGTAAATAATGCTGCAAAGAACGTGAGAGTGCATATATCTTTTCAAGTTAGTGTTTTCATTTTCTTTCAATAAATACCCGGAAGTGGAATTGCTGGATCATATAATAGTTCTATTTTTAATTTTTTGAGGAATGTCTATACTGTTTTCCATAGTGGCTATATCAATTTACGTTCTCACCAATAGTAGACAAGGGTTCCCTTTTCTCCACATCCTCACCATTGCTTGTTATTTCTTGTCTTTTTGATAATAGCCATTCTGACAGTTGTAAGGTGATATCTCATTGTGGTTTTGATTTGCATTTCCCTGATGATCAGTTATCTTTCTTTACATATACAACAAAAAATTAGAAAATAAAATATTTAAATACTATTTATACTAGCATTAAAAAAACATGAAATAGGAGCAAATGAAAGATGTGTAAGATTTCTACAGTGAAAACTGCAAATATTGCTAATAAAAATTTAAGAAGATCTAGATAAAGGTAAAATTATACCATGTTTATGGTTTAGAAGACTCTATTTAGATGTCACTTATTCCCAAATTGATTTGTAGATTGAATGCAATCCTAATCAAAATATCAGCAGTTTTCTTTGTGGAAATTGGAAAGTAGATTCTAAAATTCATGTCAAAGTACAAAGGACTAAAATAACCAAGGCAATCTTGAACAACAGCAACAAAGTTGGGGGACTTACGCTACTAGATATCAAGACTTATAATAAACTGCAGTAATTAAAACAGTGTGGTATTGGCATAAGGCTAGATAAATAGACAAATGAAATGTAATAGAGTCCATAAATAGACCCAGAAGTACATGAACTCCTGATCTACAGCAAAGTGCCAGTGCATTTCAATAGGGAAAGGATGGACCTTTTTAATAAAGGGTGCTGAGTCAATTGGTTATCCTTAACCCAACCTCATTAGATAAAAATGAACCACAGACCCAAATATGAAAAGTAAAAAAATAAAGCTGCTAGAAGAAAATGTGGGGAAAAAATCTTAAGATCTTAGGATAAGTAAAGATTTCTTAAATAGGGCATAGAAAGCACTAACCGTAAAAGATATGTTGATAATTTGGATTTTATTAGAATTAATGACTTCTTTTTATAAAATGACACTCTTTAGATAAAAATGTACCACAGACCAGGAGAAGGTCACTCTGCAATACATATATATATATATATCTGATGAAGGATTCATATTCTGAATATATGAAGAACTCCTACAAATCAATAAGAAACAGATTCCTCAAAAAAAAATTTGTTTTTAAAGAGGCAAAAGACAAGGACAGGCTCTTCAGAAAAAAAAAGGATATCCAGATGGCAAATATATGCATAAGAAAATGTACTCACCCTCATTAGATAGCAGGAAAATGCAAATTAAAACTATAGTGACATACTGTTCTATCTAACAAATAGCTAAAATTTAAAAGGCTGACTATACCAAGTCTTGGCAAGGATGTAGAGCAATTGGAACTCTCATATATTGCTGGCAGGCAAGTGATTAGTTGAACCACTTTAGAAAACCGGCAGTATTTACTAAAGCTAAAACATATGTATACTCTATGACTCAGTCCTGGCTATATACTCAAGAGAAATGAGTACGTATATCCATGAAAAACATGTTCAGGAATGTTCACAGAAATTTTATTCATGATAGCCTCAAAATGGAAATAATTCAAATTTTCATCAATAGGAGAATGGATAAAATGTGGTATATTTGTGAAATGGATGATAACATTACAATAGAAAAGAACAGTGACATGCTTGGCTCAGTCATATAGGTAAAATATTGAACAAGAACAGAAAATCTGAATACAGAAGAGTATGTGCTGTATGATTTCTTTTCTTTGATAGGGGTAGGTGGATGGATGGATGAGTCCTAAATTACCCATAAATATATAAATATATACTTGTGATGATTAAGGACAGAAGAGTGGTTCCCTTACCAGGGGAGGAGGCATGAGGCAGCCTTCTGGGGTGCTGGAGGATGGGAAGCAATGGAAAGCATAAGAAGGAATGCCCCTAGCAGTGTTATTTCCCAGCTAGAAATAACCCAGATGACCCTTAATAGTGGACTGGGTAAATATAATAAACTATGTAATATTCATAAGTGGAATACAATATGTGGCAGTGAATGAACTGTACCTGTAAGCAGTAACATGAATAAATCTCGCAATATTGGGTGAAAGAAAGAAGCCATTTGTAAAAGAATGTACACTATGATTCCATTCATATGAAGTTCAAAAATAGCCAAAACTCAACTCGAGCTTTGAAAGTAAATTAGTTGGTTACCTTTTCATTGGACAGAGAGGGTAGAGATTGAAAAGAGGAAGGGTAGGGGGACTTTTGTTATGGCAGTGCTCTTGCCCTATGAGGTAATAACACCAGCATTTGCTTTGTGGTTTTACATTTTGCTTTACATTTATGTCCTGTGCATTTTTCTATAAACCTGTTATACTTCAGTTAAAAGAGTTAGAAAACAAGTATCTAAAAGGTCTGTAGCTACTAAATGAGTTTCAACATTTATAGGTGTTCATAGCTGTTTTTTTGTAAAAAACAAAAACCTGTTTATAAAATATATAATACACAGTAATAGTAATAGAAAAAAATATTACTTTTTTTATATACTTATTTTGCATTATACATGGATTTTTCCATATTAGAAAATTTTCCCTTTGTAAAGTTAAAATTTTTTTCTTTTCAATATATTTTTTTGTGTGTGTGAGGAAGACTGGCTCTTAGCTAACATCTATTGCCAATCCCCCTCCTTTTTTTCCTCTCTTGTTCTCCCCAAGGCCCCAGTAGATAGTTGTATGTCATAGCTGCACATCCTTCTAGTTGCTGTATGTGGGACGCCACCTCAGCATGGCCGGAAAAGCAGTGCATCAGTGCGTGCCCGGGATCCGAACCCAGGCCGCCAGTAGCGGAGCGCACACACTCAACTGCTAAGCCACGGGGCCGGCCCCCTCTTTTCAATATTTAGAAAGGCATACTTTCAAACTGAGATGCATCCATAATCTACCTTCGCTTTCTAATCCTTTAATTTACTCCTTTGGTAGCAATTTATCAATTGTATACATGCTTTTAATTTTTAATTTTTTTAAACACATGATATCTTCTGGGAAAATTGAGAGCTTGTGATTCCTTATCAGGTGACAAGCAAACTTATTAGTAAAATTGACTCCTTCCCTTCTTAGATTTTTTATTTGCAGCAATTTAGGTATTGATACCAGTTTTCTGGTTTGGCATTCATAATAGTTCTATTTGTCACATTGAGGATATGAGGTAGATCTGTGGTTTATCATTCTTTGTGATTTTCAATAAGAATCATATCTACTAATCTTTTTTCCTAGTATTCACTAAAAATACTCCTCTCTAAAATTTTTTGGTGAGTAAAATATTCACTATATGGTTTTGTTCAAATAGGAGATTATGTATTAACATACTTGCTTATATTATTTGTTTCTCTTTTTTTAGAGAAAATCTCTTCATGAAAACAAATTGAAGAGACTGCAGGAGAAAGTAGAAATCTTGGAGGCAAAGAGAGAAGAATTGGAAACAGAAAATCAAGTATTAAATAGGTAATGTGTTTGTATGTATACAGACCCAATGTGGTTATTTTGATATTATAGAACGTTGTTCAGTATAATGCACTTTGTTTTCTTTTAAAGTGTACATTAAAAGAATTCTAAAACTATTCATTATACTCCTAATTCATTATCCTTGTTATTTTTTTCCTGACTGAATATTGCTTCAACCCAAAAGGTCTCTAACACGTGCCAGGTGTTGGTTATGGTTGGGACTGACAGGAAAGGTCAGTCACTGGCTTTGGTAGCCAAGAATAATGTGGGGTTTTGCACCTGAGACAAGACAATTGTAGTGACTGCATAGTTCTAAAATAGTGGCTACAACTTTTAATCGAAGATTAGTTTTTAATTTCTTGGTGTGGAAAAATATTGGGCTATAGCTTCTGGTTTTTCATTTATATCCAAGCACAGCTAATAATCTGCATCATTAGCATTTTTGAGCAGAGATTTACCATATTAAGTTAGTGGTAGTGGCATTATATGACCCATTTGATTCAAGTTAATAAAAAAATATTTTCAAATTTAGCTAATTAGTGGTAGCCTCCAGCATTTAGACAGTATCAGACTTTTGTGTACTGGAAATTGCCTGTAATATCAAGCAGTGATGTTTTATAATGTGCACTGGTTTTCTTGGGTGTAATTATTACCAAAATGTGAACAGTTGTTTTTTTAGAACACCCAAGAGGTTTCTAGACTGTGGAATTAATGCCAACTTTACAATACTCTGTTCCAAAGTAAGAAGCCACAAAATTCATTCTAAAACAAAATTCAACTTAATACCTCTTCCATAACCATTAATTTTCAAATATTATCAATTCACAAGATTGGACAGTTATGGCAGATCACCTAGAACTTTGGTTTTGAAACTATATTTGATTACTTGTTTGATTGATGGTCAGAAATTCATGTCCAAAAAGATGGTGATCTGTGAAGGCCTGAAAAGTTAGCATTTTATCCATGTCATTTTCCCCTAAAGTTGAGTAGCTTCACCTTTGTCATTAGCTACATTTTTAAGAATTAGGTTGAACAATATGAAATTCCCTATGTTTGACCTACAAAAATGGCAATTTCATAAGATTCAATGTAATATTTTCTTTATTTCTATTTGATTCCTTCTGTAAAATAAGGCACCTTTTTGGTTTAAGGAGGCTCCTTTTAGTTTCAGGATTCATGGGTTGGGGGAGTGGAAATGAAAGTAAAAATATCAGAAGATTTTTAATCTTTGATTAATTGGCAAATAAAATTTTAAAACGAGTTGATAGCCTGCAATGCTAACATTAATACATATGATTAAGCTGTCATATCATGTTTGTGTTTATCTTTCTAGATAAACAGAATTTTATGTATATATTATATACAAGTAAATATTATTTAGAAATTCTTCCAATTTAAAATTATATTCTGTGATCATACTGTTCTTCCATAGAGCATAACTGTATTAAAAGACAAACACTTTTTTCTTTTTAAGACAAAATGTTCCATTTGAAGAATATACAAGGCTTCAAAAAAGACTAAAGGATATACAGAGAAGACATAATGAATTTCGAAGTTTGATTTTGGTTCCTAACATACCTCCAACAGCATCCATCAATCCTGTTACCTTTCAGTCATCAACCATGGTTCCAGGCATGGAACTATCCTTTCCTCCTCATATGCAGGTATGAGCATTTATTTTAGGGAAAAAAAGTTAGGCAAACATTTCTGTAACTTTTTACCTGTTTAAATACAGAGTTAAAAACTCAAATTTTTGGCTGGCCCCGTGGCTTAGTGGTTGTGTGCGCGCTCTGCTACTGGCGGCCCGGGTTCAGATCCTGGGCGCGCACCCACGCACCGCTTCCCCAGCCGTGCTGAGGCTGCGTCCCACATACAGCAACTCGAAGGATGTGCAACTATGACATACAACTATCTACTGGGGCTTTGGAGAAAAAAAAAGGAGGATTGGCAATAGATGTTAGCTCAGAGCCGGTCTTCCTCAGCAAAAAGAGGAGGATTGGCATGGATGTTAGCTCAGGACTGATCTTCCTCACAAAAGGGAAAAAAAAAAATTTTTTTTTTTTTTTTGTTAGAGAAACTTGCTAGGAAGCAAAGTAGATTTGAATCTATTCTATCCTTTAGTGATAGTGCTAGAAGTGAAATCTCCTATTGGGCAATTAAAAAAAAGAAACTTGGGGGCTGGCCCGGTGGCGCAAGTGGTTAAGTGCGCGCGCTCCGCTGTGGTGGCCCAGGGTTCGCCGGTTCAGTCCTGGGTGCGCGCTGACTGCTTGTCGAGCCATGCTCTGGCAGCGTCCCATATAAAGTAGAGGAAGATGGGCCTGGATGTTAGCCCAGGGCTGGTCTTCCTCAGCAAAAAAAAAAAAAAAAAGAGGATTGGCAGATGTTAGCTCAAGGCTGATCTTCCTCACAAAAAAAATAAATAAATAAAAAATGAAATAAAATAAAAAGAAGAAACTGGATTGATGAGGCTTTGAGTAACCTAGAGTATGTAGCTCACTCATATGATACCAACTGCCACTGAGCATTTACTAGTTAACACACTGCACTATGCATTTTCTATACAATATTTTATTTAACCCTGATGAAAAATGCTTTCAGGGAAGGCATTATTATTTCCAGTTTACAGATGAGGAAATTGAGTCAGAGAGGTGAAGTGATATACCTAGCATCATAGCTAATAAGTGACAGAGTTGAGTTTCAAACCTAAATCTGTTTGATTCCAAAACCTGGGCTCATTCTACTATATCAGGTCCCTGAGATATTGAAGGAATCAAATTGATTAGATGATTTTCAGAAGATGAGCTATTAATAAGTAATTACATTTTATAGTGTGGTGAGCATTAAAGATTTTAGTCATTGAATTGAATCTCAGCCCAAGTGCTTTGTTTATAATAAACTGCTATAATAAACTCCAGTCTTGTTAGAAAGTTGCCACATAAGTACACCTGGGCCCTGCGTTAGTATTTTCTGTTTCACTCCCTGGTGAATTTTACACCTAGAAAAGAACAGACTTTGGATTTTGCTTAAGGCTAGAGCCTGGAGCAGGACAGAAGCAAGGACTAGTTAGTAGTCTAGCCCATGCTGCTGTGTTCTTAGACTGCTAAAATGGTCATCCTTTCCTTGCCAGATGTTGCAGGCCTGAATAAAAGAGGCACTGAGGCTGCTCCCTAATAGTTATTTTTCCACCAGTTTTGTTAACAGTCTCTTTTGCTGTGTTTTTTTTTTTTTTTTTTTTCTGTGCTTTTAAGGAGGAACAGCATCAAAGGGAACTCTCTCTACTTCGCAAAAGATTAGAAGAACTAGAAACAACACAAAAAAAACAACTAGAAGAACTTGGATCTCCTGGGGAATGATGTTCTCGAAGAAAAGGAAGATCAAAAGGGATGAAATCAGTGACTCAATAAAGCTTGAAGTTTTAACGTACGTGGCACTTAGATACTTTATTACTGTTTGCCAAAACACTTGAATGTACCTCAAGAAAAGGTCTCAGCTACATGCTGCACTGCATGAGTGCCAGGATTTCAGGATTATACTAATGACAAGTGAAACATTAAAACAGCTTCAGAGCTATTTAAAATATTTGACAACCCTTTGAGAAGGTAAAAAAAAAGTAAATAAAAGGAACTAATTAGGGAATCAAGTTTTAAAATTATTTTATTAATTTTACTTTGTTGAATTTTTTTTTTTGGCATTTTGCCAAAATATGCTCATGTTGAATTCTCTCTTCCTCTTCTTTTGAGATGCTTGGCAATAACAGGGTCAGTAAACATTTTCTGGTTTATATACAAGAGTTATAAACCTCTAGTTCTTGAAAAAAGATGACATTAAAAATCATTAAAAAATTAATTAGATATCTAAATATATATTCATTCCAAAACACTACCTTTCCTAAAAGCTGTGTGCATATAATTTATTAAAGAGCTTAATAAATATTTTTCTATCTAACTATATTGTCTTGTGTTTAATTTTATTTCGACCATACAGGGTGTATTTAGCAGTGTAGAAGATCTCACTGATTTGGCTTCGTTGAGTTAGAATTAGTAGAAAATAACAAAGTACAAATAATTAAATCCTGTGGCTATATAAAACAAGGGCCATTCATTCTAAAACTTGAACCCAGTGAGGTCTCTTTAGAAATATTGTTGGTATTTAACTTTGCCTCCTGCTGTTTTGGATCTAACCAAATTATTATAAATATTTCTGTGTGTCCCTAAGTATGCCATCATTTGCTTTTTTATGTAACATCTTTTAAAGGGATTCTGCTGGAAATAACTTCACATCAACAAGGCAAACCTCAAATCCAGCAAACTAAGTGGAATGTTCATTATCCAGAAGTCTTCATAATCAAAAGGCCAAGTTGATAGAGGAGACCAGGAATGTAATTGAGCAGCCCTTAGCATCATTTAGAAGAAACGAGATTTACTTACTACATAATATAGATGCTTGTTTGTAGAGTAGAGTATATGGTGACACCTTGTTCCTGCAAAATAATTTCAATGGAGCCACTAAGAATAAAAAAAATCTATTATAACTAGAAAATTTGAAGGAAAAAACCCCAACAGTCCATATTTACATTAAAATGTTTATTTTTGGATATAGACATTTAAAACATTCATCTCCAAGAACAGCTTCAATCAGGTATACAATAAGAAATAGACTTTTAAATCTCTAATACGGAAAAGGTAACAGAATTAATTTTTAAATGCTGCTGTAGACACTAGTGTTAGAAAAAAAAGTTTATAAATGAATTGTTTTGCACCAAAAAAATATGCAAAGAAACTTTAAAATAGAAATTGTTTGCCATTTGTTTCTCTAGTTGCTGTTTAATATAGACCCAGTGACTGATTGTCTTCAGCACACATCTAATTTGGCCATTTGCTGTGTTTGGCTAATATGATCCAAAATCTGATCTATCTAGATAGTGCTTTTCACTGGAGGACTGACAAACATGCTACATACATTAGTGAATCTTCACACCACCTCAGTGAGGTAGGTTAGAAATATTATACAGAAATTGAGGCACAAAGAGGTAAGTGACTTGCCCAAAGTTCCCAGCAGCACAGTCCCTGGAAGAGGAGGTAAGTCTCCACACAGGACCCATGTGCCAGAGAGCTGGACAGGGACACCCTCATGTCGCATTTACTAAATACTTACTTACATAAAGCTGTAGCTGATCCTTTCAGTTTTCTTAGCATTTCTGTACCCTAAAGAAGGGGAAGTCTTTTGGGCAACTCTCCTACCCTTGGCTCTCAACTCTCCTACTATTGTTCTCTTATGAACGCCTTTACATCAAGACCGTAGCAGCCTTAGATGGGGACCAGACCTCTCACCTTTAGACTTAAATAAGTAGTCTATTTGGTAGTATTTTTGAGGTGTGTCCACTGGACAGACAATGGTCAAAAGCGATGGGATTTGGGACGGTGCCTATCAGGGCAATAACTGCTTATTGTCTGTGATCAGTTTGTTGAGGTGTCACCTCTCACTCTTTACCAGATATTGAGGAGCAAAAAAACTTGCATTTATCTGAGACAAATTCACATTTAAATCCTGATGTCTCATCCAGTGTTGGTAAATGATTTTAAGGAATGTGTGATCAATGTTTTATTTGCTACTTGGAAAACTTTTTTCCTCAGTCTGGGATTTGGAGCACCAAGGGTAAAAGGTGCCACAAGGAAAGTTTGAAAGTTGCCAATTACACTTTTTACTTCTGGTTTAATATAAGGAAAACACAGTGGTATTAAAATTGGTCATGAGCAGCAAAAATTCAGGAATAAAAAATCAATAGCAAGACTACAGTATAACTGGATAGGCAATTCTTTAAAAAGAAAGGCATGAATAAAATGGGTAGTTTTCTTTCTCTTGTGAGGAATACTTTCAAAAAGTACATAGTAAGACTAAGATACCAAGTTGTATACTAATTTTTCAGGCCTTGGGCCTCAAATATATATATTCATATATAATACTCCAGTGTGAACAGCAATTTCATGAAATGTAAAATGTATCTTTTAATCACACACAAATATTTATAACCACGGGTTCACCAGAAATCTAAAGCAAGGAGACACTAGTATAGAAATATAGGATTAGGGGAATGAGTTATTCTTCCACAGATAGATCTGATCAAAGAAGTTTTGAGGAATACATTTTTTTTTTTTTTTTTTTTTTACAATAGCCAACATGTCCACTATCAAATACATTTAGTATGAAAAAAGGAACATACATTAGGACAAAGTATCTGGGTAAAATGCAGTTGCATTTAAATAAAGCCTACTCCCTCTCCTTGCTTTAGAGCTCCTTAGTGAACTGGAGGTGAGTTCCATGGAGTGCAGTTGGTAACCACTGAAAAACACGAGCCCTTTCAACAATGTTGCAACACTGTTAGTTTTTGGTTTAAAAACACACACACACACTCACAAATGCTAAGTGTACACACTACCAAATTTTGCGGTCAGCTTTTCCAAGAACTACTGGGGAAAGTTTCAATGCTGCAAATCCTCGAGGTTGCCCTACACCCCCACCTTGTTTCCAAATGACTCATTTCACATTTTGTTTTGATCACTGGCAATGTCCCTTTTCTGCAGAGGTGCAGTGTAGTCACAAGTGCTACATAGCTGTAGTTTTCAAACAAAACCACTTATAATTTGTGCTTAAGTGGAGACTGTAGTTACAATACTGACCCTCGCTTACTGGCCCTGTATTCTCTGTAAACAAGGAGGCTGTTTGCAACAACCACTTCAACTCTATTTACAGAAGGGTTCCCACAACACAGGCACAATGGTTGGTATGCTTTCTAAAAGCTGTGCATGTGCCTTGGTCTCTTAAAAAGACAGTGCTCCAAGTGGAACCTATGTGCAAACTTAAAAAATGAACGACACAGAGTAGCTCAAGCAGCCATTTTGCTCCCAAGTCGTCTGAAGAACTTTGCCAGATTAAGCCAGGCCCCAGAGCGCTCACATCCACTTGCATTTCTTCTTTTCATCAAATAAGACTTTTACATGCAAGAGTTGTTTCTGAGCTTCTTCCAGCCCTCGTTCTCTTTCTAGTTTATTTAGAATCTGTTGACAATTAGAACAGTTATTTTAGATATTGTGGTTTTAGCATTACAATTCTTTTTTTTTTTTGCATTCCTGATGCTGTGAGTGGTAAAATCTGTATGAAACAGATGCCAACATTTTCTTCGATCATTTACATACTCACTTTGCAAGTTGTTTTGCTAAGTCATTATCACAGGATCAACAACACTTTGGCTTAAAATAGAAGCTCGCAAGAAATACCAACTATTTGCTTACAAATATGGGGCCAGACTTCCAAGGCCCTGTTTAGTGCATTATGTCACAGCCATTCCAAGCACAGCAAGCATTCCTGGGCAGCCAACATGCAGGCAAGTATTTCTTCTTAAATGCAGCAGGCAGGGGCATCCTGGTCGGAGATAAATATTTCCCTTCCCTCCCCTTCTAGCCAGTGTAGTCCCTCCTCTCCCCTCCCCTCCCCAGTGCTTCCCTCCTAACCCCTGACCCCTGGAAAGAGGGATGCTTATCATGTTTAAGGAACTCATTGCCTCTACCCTACCTTAGCGCTTCACTTGATCTTCAAGTAGCAAATGGAATTGGTGAGCTATTCTCACCATTGACATGGATAGCCTGTCCCAGCATGACTGAGTGGGGGGGAATCAGGGAAGGGGGAATTAACATATATTTGGAAACAGCGCATCTGATGACTATGTCTGTGTGAATTCCCAAAGAAAAAAATCCAGATTAAGGAGAATTAATCATAAAGGAGAATGGTTTATTGAAATAGTTGCTTAAGTTAGAAATATGTCATACTTTCATATAACTATTGAAACAGAATCTAGGCAATTTAACAAGCTTAGCTTTCATTTTAGCAGATTATAATCAAGCATAAGCTGGCCCCATTTCACAGGACCACTACTCACTCATCAAAGTTAACTTGAGTCAGTGTGGCTGTAGGCCCCAGGAACTCAAATGTAAATTCAGGCTGGTCCAAAGCTGGGCAGCATGATAAAACTGTAAGAGGGGCAGCCACATGCAGGGTCTGGCTTGGCGCCAGGATCCCCCATCTCAGACAGGCTTCCTGGCCTCCTGTTCTGGCCATTTGGGATGCCAGAGCTGTCCTGAGACCTGTAGAATGCTCTATAACCAAATCCTGGTGACTGATTCATATGAATTTTTAAAAATGTTATTTAAAATCTTACCTCATCAAAATATTTTACGATGTATTTGTAGATTTCTGTCAAGGCCACTTCTTCATTAAATTCATTTTCATGTTTCTTAAAGAGAGAGTTGTTGAGAAATTCTGAAATGACTTTTTTTTTAAAAAAAGAAGTAACTAAATCTCATTTCTACTTTCTAACAATACCTTAGATTCCTGAGTTAAGAATTCTTCCATTTCTGAAGGTGACAATGGAGGCAAATCCCTGATTGCTTTGTAATAATATTTTACTTCCTCTTTATAGGTTGGGATATCCTTGGCATAGAGAAGCTTATTAGTTGGTGCTTCCTGAAAAAAAAGCAACCACCGCCAAAAGAGTAAAAAACCATGGGGAATTTATAACAGTACCAATGCAACTAAACCTCCACCACT